CCATTTCAGGAAATTTGGAGTCGATGTAGCGATGGCCTTCCGTCCGTCTGGTGCTCAAGATAACTCTCGAATGGAGTATCAGATTTGGTCCAAAATTGATACAATGTAATATTACTGTCAAACTTAGATCGAGTTCGAAGATGGGCAATATCGGTCCACTCCTTCTGGTACCTCCACCACAAAAGGTCGAAATTTGCAAAAGCAAGTTAAAATGTATCAATCGGTTCTGCCGACAGTCTAATACCCTCAGCCATTGTTCGATTATTTAAATATATTTTGACTTCTGTTATGATTATTCATTATTATTATTTTTTATACCCTCCAATATAGTATGGAGGGTATATGAAGTTTGTCGTTCCGTTTGTAATACCTCGAAATACACATTTTAGACCCCACAAAGTATATATATTCTTGATCAGCATAAAATTCTATGTCGATTCAGCGAAGTCCGTCCATCTGTGGAAATCACTCTAGCTTCCGAACGAATTGAAGTAGATTGATAAAATTTTGCTCAAATGTATGTTATGTCTGCAGGACTTTTGGTATTAAAAATGGGCTATGTAGGTCCACGTTTTGGTAAAGCCACCATGTAACGGTACCTCCCGATATTCGGTATTTTGATGATTTTAGCGAATTTATTCACCGGAATTGTTTCAAATTTGGTATTTGAAGTCCGTAATGGATACTAAAGTCTAAGACAGAAAACTGTCTGTGCAGGTCCACTTCTTCGTAAAGCCTCCATATAACGGTACCTCCCGATATTCGGTATTTTGATGATTTTAGCGACATTATTTACCGGAATTGTTTCAAATTTGGTATTTAAAGTTCATAATGGATACTACAGCCTAAGACAGAAAATTGTCTGTGCAGGTCCACCTCTTCGTAAAGCCTCCATATAACGGTACCTCCCGATATTCGGTATTTTGATTTTAAAGACATTATGACCGATTTTTTTAAGTTTCGCATTTGAAATTTGTAATGGCTTATGACAAATGTTACCTACACATGTTCATGTCATCGTATAGACCTTAATATAATAGCTATATTCGGTATTTTTAAGATTTTAACAGAATTTTTAACGGATTTTATTATTTTCGAGAATTGCCAAATTCGTTACAAATGGTGGAGGGTATTCAAATTTCGGCCTGGCCAAACATACAGCTGTTTTACTGGTTTTTATACCCTCCACCATATTATGGAGTGTATATTAACTTTGTCATTCCGTTTGTAACTCCTCGAAATACTCATATCAGACCCAACAAAGTATATATGTTCTTGATCAGCGTAAAATTCTAAGTCGATTTAGCGATGTCCGTCTGTCTGTCTGTCTGTCTGTCCGTCTGTCTGTATGTCTGTTGTAATCACGCTATCTTTCGAATGAATTGAGATAGGTGGCTAAAATTTTGCACACATGTTTATTTTTCCAGTAGGCAGGTTAAGTTCGTAAATGGGCCATGTAGGTCCACGTTTTCATATAGCCCCCATATAACGGTACCTCCCTATATTCGGTATTTTGATGATTTTAGCGACATTATTCACGGGAATTGTTTCAAATTTGGTATTTGAAGTTCAAAATGGATACTGCACCCACGTCTTCGTATAGCCCCCATATAACGGTACCTCCCTATATTCGGTATTTTGATGATTTTAGCTACATTGTTCACCGTTTATTTCAAGTTTCGAATTAGAATATGGTAATGGCTTATGACAAACAATGCCTATGTATGTCCACGTCGTATAGACCCCAAAATAACGGCTATACTCGGTATTTTTAAAATTTTAACAGAATTTTTTGAGGATTTTATTTTTTGAAAATTTCCAAATTCGTTGCAAATGGTATTAAAAGTTCGGCCCGGCCGAACTTACTGCTTTTTTACTTGTTTTTTTTTGTTTTTTTTTTTTTTTTGTTGCACAGTGTTTTTAATGTCAAAGGAAGTAGTCAAAGACGGCACAATTCGAACACCACTTTATAATGTGTCATAAGAACATAAGTTTGATATTTTGATTTCCAGTGGTGAAATATAAGTTTAAAGCAATGACTGATATATGAAAGTGATTTTAAAATTTCTTGTTTGCAATTTAGCAAAAGGACTAAAAAATAGACTTTAGAGTTAGCTACAGGTGTACAAGTGTCCGTGTACAATTTTTGTATCCTGCATGTTTATTTCCTACAAAAACTGCAAAATATATCATTGACAGATTGGAAAGTATAAAACAATTCTCTGTATCGTGCAAGACGTTTAAAAAACAATATTTAATTGCAAAACCAACCGCCAATTAAAAATATTAATTATTCATCTTTTTATAAATTTGTACGGAAAATCAAATCAAACAACTGCAATATCATCTGAACTTTAACTGAAATCTTGTTGTACCTTTTATACCATTCCGCATTTCAAATTTTATATTGCCTGTTTTTACGGCGTGTGGTCCCTTATCGGATTCATTTGGCTGCTGGCCACATACAATTAATAAAATCTATAATTTAATGAATAATTATGGTTGAAAAACTTGATAAAACTGAAAAAAGTGTATCAGCACTTAAATTATGCTCCCCCTACATATGGTCGGTGCAATGGCACTTGTTTTAAGAATTTTTTGTTTATTGTTTTTTTTTTTTTTTTTTTTTTGGATATACTTATCAGCATAGTTTTTTGCCATGTAAGCGAAAATGTTTACCAATGAAATCAGACAAAAACAATTACATGTATTTATTGATACAACAAAAACAAAGTTTACAACAAAAAAAAAAAAAAAAAACACTGCAAATAAATTTCAAAATAAAAACACAAGTGTAGTGCACCAACCGGCCAACTCTCGAGTCAAGTTTATGTCCTCGTCCCGGCCAGCTGTCCACTCCAGTTTGATGGTCACACTTTGTCGTGCTCATAAATAATCCGCCCATTATTATGACTGTTTTAATAGTGATTATTATTAAATTATTGTTTTATATCACAAAAAGCATTCATACATACACAAACATATTTATTAATTGTCTGATTGTTTTTATCATTGGCTTTACTTTTGTTGTTTGGCCTCAGTTTGTTTTGGCTCTCTCATTTTTTTTTTTTTGATTTTAAAATAATTTATTTATTATTGGCAATATTATTTAAATATTGGCACAAGACTCAATTGGAATATGCGTGGTGTTTTAATTATAATGCTTTTTCACCCGCGCAGTACAGCTACTGAAATATTAATAGTTAAATTTAACTGACAAACAAAATGCGATATTTAAATAAATGATGGAATGCTTAAAATAGTTAATTAATTTCAGCATATTTTTAAATATTTGTTTTGTTTGAAAAAAAAAAAAAAGAAAGAGATCAGGTTGGGTTTCTTTGTTTTCTATGGAAAATTTCGATGAAAAAACATGTATCTTCAATAACATTGGTGTGTAAATATTGTTTAATAGAACGGCTGCAACCGACAGCAGACGTCATATCGTTGGTGTCATGCTTAAACTACACTGTGCGACAAAACACAATAAGAGTCACAAATGGAAGACATGTGTATTGACATTTTCGCAAGTTTACATCGCAAGGTAACCTAAATAGAGGCTGAAAGTTAACCCTCCTTCCACTCTTTTTGAAATCAGTTAACGAGTTACGCATGTGAGGTTTAAAGTCCCAAAACAGACGAAACATATGTATGAAGTACTTGCTTTTGGGATGAATTCCGTTAAAAGTACCAAAATTCTGTCCATTTGGGCTGATATTAGCCATTTTGTGAACAATAAACTTGAAATCGGATAAAGATATACATATATCTAAATTTTGATCGATTTTCTTTAATATCTACAGGGTTTGTCCTTGGGTCAAACAAATGATTTGTGCAAAATTTCATTTCGATCGGACAATAAAAACGACTTACAAAAATACATGGGCAGACGGAAATAAATCGACTCAGAATGCGATTTTATCAAGATAATCAAATGAAACTATGGGCCTATCTCGCTTCCTTTTTTATACCATCAGCCATAAGGCTACAGAGGCTATATATCATTTGATACGGCCAAAACGTGCTTCATCGAAATAACGGTTTTAGACCCTAGATATCTTTGGACTAAATCCGTTTCAGGACATTTGGAGTCGATCTAGCGATGTCCGTCCATCTTTCTGTCTGTCTTGCTGGCTGTGCGCACGATAACTTCGATTTGATCCAAAACTGGTACATCGTAATATTATTGTCAAACTTAGATCGAGTTCGGAGATGGGCAATATCGATCCATTCCTTCTGGTACCTCCCCGACAAAATTTCAATATTTTCAAATAAAATAATTTACTGAACAGAAAGAGAAACGATAATCCGATTGTGCTCCAACTTTGCATACAGTAATATTTGCATCAGTTCTAGGTCAGGTGCGGTAATGGACAATGTTGGTTCACTGTATCTAGTATCTGCCCCACAAAGAATCAACATTTTTAATAATTACAACTCTTATAAAATGTGATGTAAGAGTCCGATTGTATTTAAATTTCACGCATACCAACATTTTTATCAACCCAAGGTCTGGTGTTAAGGTGGAATATATCGGTCAACTCCTTTTTGTACATCCCCCACAAAAGGTCGAAATTTTAAACATTCATTAAGCTCATAAAACTCGAAATAAATATCCGATTCCATTTAGACTTGGTGACGAATATTTCTATCAATACTGAATCTGTAATAAAAATGGTAGAGATCGGACCATTTCTTTTGGTACATACCACCCCCACATACGGTTCAAGATTTTGAGAAACCAGACGCTCAAAGTAAGCCAAATAATCATTCAACTCTCTTCAAATTTCACACATACAAACATTTTTGCTAACACAAGATCTGTTTCAATGCTTATATCTGTCATAATAATAATAATATTATTATTATTATTATTATTATTATTATTATTATTATTATTATTATTATTATTATTTAAAAAATATCAGAACTCATTCCTTTAATAACTTTGATTTTCTCAACATTTTATTGAAGCTCATAAATTATATTCTCCTACTTACCACTGTACTCTCTCTGGTATTCAAAATTGTATCCTTGTTTTCGTCTTTATCTGGTGTGAAACTTTGTTTCTGTCTCGATGGGAAGAAACGTGTAAAGCAAGCCATGTTGTTGATATTCTTTTGTTGTTGCTGCTGTCGATTGATGTTGATGTTGTTATTGCTCTGTCACATGTATTCGGTTTGTTTGTTTGTTTGTATTATAACCAATTTTATTATTATTATTTTACTTTACTTTTGCTTTAATAACTTAATTTATTGGATTTGTGTCGAAGATTATCTCTTTGATTTGGCCATAAATTTTATTTTCCTTTTGCGTTCCTCTCTTTCTCTCATTCATCATCGCTCTAATACTCGTGGATATCATGGTTTGTGTTTGGTGGTATTAGATGCCATTGTTGTTGTTGTTGTTGTTATTGGGTTTATCACAAAATATTTAACTGAGTTGGAGTAAATTTCATGAACACATTGCTGCTGTTGTAATCGGAGAAGTAGTAAATTGAGTTACATGGCAAACATTTTGGGCCACAATGAAAAGGGGTAAACGATGATATGACGATATGAGTAATGTTTGGTAGCCGGTTAGCAGAGATAATTTAGTGGATTTTGGGGGAGGGGGGTGAGGTTGGAAAAACTTAATTCGATTTTCAGCCTTAATTTCTGTGGTAGGGTAGGAGCGGTTAATTCGATATTGCGTTGAGCTAATTATTCCTGTGATATATGTTTATACATTTTGGGGGGTTTGGTGACCATGGCACTGTTAAGGTTTTCCTGATATTGTGAAGGGGTTTGGTTGGACAACACGGAAGGTTGAAGTGTTGTTCAACACATCACATGGCCTTATCTTAGCGCATAGCTGTTTGAATAAATTGACGAAAAACGTTTTGGCAAGCAATTTTCTTATCTCAACAGCTCTTCAATAATTCGTTCGAAAAAAAAAACAAATTGATTAGATTTTCAAAACCACACATGCGAACACACACACAGAAAGAGGCTCACGAAAATGAAATTATTATTGTTAAATAATTATGGTTGTTTGATTTTTATTTTTCACATGTTAGACATTTCTTTCAAGTATGGAAAACTATATGGCCTTTAGACTTGTAGCTACACCTTAAGATTTTTCTAATCGAAAGCTAAAGAATTTCCTATTTTGTGGATATTTCCAGGGTTATAAACATCGAATTACCGTCTGTCACTTGAATATTTCATCACTTTGGGTGAGTCAATGGTAGGCTGGTGGGTGGTTTAGTTTGTTCGGCTGGCATATTAACATTTTTTCTCCACATTTGCTGCACTTGCTTCACCTTAATTGTTTATCTTTATACATTGCAACCACACACCTATCTTTCCCCATCAGTGTGCTCCCCCTTCTGTGTCTTCTTGTTTTTTTTTATTATATTCTCTTCTTATCAGTCATTGTCGTAGTAATCTTTGACAAATATGTAACGTCTCCGGCTGATGTGTCCGTTTGTCTGTCACTATTATCTGTCTCATTGGGGGGAATTACGCTTTTTTGTCATATGAATTGCCTATAAATTTCTTAGTAATGCTTTTTCTATGATTTTCTGAATTCATATCGAAAACTTATCTAGAAATGTTGAAGGAAAAAAAAAAACAGAATTATAAAAAGTATTTTTTCCAGCTGTCATTAAAAAACTTCGAGACATTTTGCGGTGATTTTTATAATATTGCAAACAATAAAAAACAACAAAGAAGAAGATAAAAAGAGGGGTAAAAGAGAATAGAATTTGTAGACTACAACTGCATTTTTATAGACTTTTTACTGTGTCAATGAAAATGTGTTGTAGAATACCCAAAAAAAAAAAAAAAAAAACATAAATAAATAAATATTAATAATATTTCAGAAAAATGTAAGATTATTGAAAAATTGAAAATAAAATTATAATCAGCTCAGGCTTACAGAAGGACGGGATCAGTCATTACATATTCTATACAACCATAAATTTCGGAAAGTTTCCTGTAGATATTACACTCTTTTGCATTTTTGACATAGTCATGCATAAGTGATTCGACGTGATTTTGATCGGATCGGCGGTTTTGCCGACAGATGTATACACTCAGCCGATGATCGATTATTTAAATGTAATTTGACCTCTCTTATGATTGGTCAAATTTTTGACCCTCTATGGAGCAGGTCGAGGAATTCGATCTAAATTTGACAAAAATATTACGATGTACCAAGTTTGGACCAATTCGGATACTCCCTTCGAGAGTTATCGTGCGCACCAGCCTGCCAGCCAGACAGACGGACGGACGAACATCGCTATATCGACTCCAAATATTCTGAAACGGATTTGGTCCAAAGAGACCTAGGGTGTAAAACCGTTATTTCGACTAGGCACGTTTTGCCGGATCAAATTGTATATACCCTCTCTAGCCATATGGCTGAGGGTATAAAAACAGCTAAGTTCGGCAAAGAATCAAAATGTTTATACCCTGCACCATTGGAAAGAAACTTGCAAGTTAAAAAAATCGGTCGAAAAATGCCACTCAAATGATATCCGTTATATGGGGGCTATACGAAAACTTGGTTCTGCATAAAAAATTTTTTTGTCGTAGGCTGTAGGCCGATTCCGAAGTTAAAATATGAAATTGGAAACAATTCCGGTGAATAATGTCGCTAATATCATCAAAATACCGAATAAAGGGAGGTACCGTTTTATGTGGGATATGCGAAGACGTGAACCTGCATAGAAAATTTTTCCGACATAGATTGAAGTATCCATTACGCGCTTCAAATGCGAAATTTTAAAAAATATATGGCTAAAATCATTAAAATATGGGGAGATATGGGGGCTATACGATTTCGTGGACCGATATAGCCCATCTTCGAACTTGAACTGTCTGCAGACAAAAGACTGATCTTTGCTAAATGTTAGCTTTCTGTTTTAATTCGTTTTGACTTGTGATTACAACTGACGGACAGGGGCGAAAACGTCTTTGAATCATACGCTTATCAAAAATATATATGAGTTACAATCGGACGACAAACTAAATGGAGGGTATATTAACTATGTATGGTGAAGGGTATAAAATCAGATCGGATATATAGGAGCTATATCTGAAATGAATTTCTCCAAATTTGAAACATTTTCTACCATGCTGAATACGTATGTGTCGTATGTTCTAATACCCATTCAATTAGGTATTGTATTAACCATTTGGTAACATAAAATCGGAAAAAGATATATATGGTAGCTATATCCAAATCTGAACCGATCTTGATTACATTTGGCAAAGTACTTTTGAGCTGTATGTGATATTTTTTCCGAATATCGTTTTTGAGTCCATGTTACGGCCGTGGGGGACAAAAATAGCAAATGGAGTGAACAATATATATGGGAGCCATAGGTACATCTGAACCGGGTTTTACCAAATTTTTACCAAATTTGAAAATGTGTGCAGGTTCACGTGTTGGCCATATAACGGTTTAGCAGCCACTTTATGGTATTTTGAAATATTTAAGCATATACTCCTATCAATTTTAGTGGCATTTGCAGAATACTGGTAGATAGATGCATCAGCATTTGTGAATATTGATATGTCAAAAATATTAGAAATTTTCTTCAAATATAATTCGAAAGCAGAAATTATTATAGCAGGTGTTTTTTCAACAAATTATATAATATTCAATACAATTAAAAAAGCCAGTCTCTTCTCACCCCAACACAGAAATACAATATCTTGAATTTTGCATTTTTACAGTGTAACCAGTGATTTATGCCGTTAAAAACACCCTGGGAATCATGGATCCACTTCATCGAAAAAAAAAATGATTTGATTTAACTCACTTTGGGCGCCATCGAAATGTAACATCTTGAAATTTGTATTTTCTACTCCGTGGGCTCGAGTTCATCTAACCAGGCTCCTTAGACATCAGCTCATCTACACAGCCCCCTTGGGAGGTAGCTTTCTAAATGAACTTCCTGGGTTTCAGTTCTAGTTTCTCTAAATAGACTCCCTCGACCCCAACGGTTCTAAACTGGTTCTCTGGGCTCCAGTTTATCTAAAAAGACTCCCTGAAATCCTAACTTTTTAATTTTTCTTTCAATACATAAATTGTAAAATCTAGACCGTTTATTGATTTATCTCACGTTGGGCGCTACAGAAATACGATATATTCAATTTCATATTTTAACAATGAAATTTGTGATTTATGCCTTTAATAACACCCTAGACCCCCTAGGATCCAATTTATCGAAATAGACTTCCTACTATTTGGTATATCATAATTAAAAGGGGTTTGATTTAATTCACGTTGGGCGCCACCGAAATATAACATCTTAAAATTTTAATTTTTACTTCGTGGCTTGAGTTTATCTGAACTTCTTAGGTCCAGCTCATCTACACAGGCCTCCTGGACTCTTGCTGGTCTAAAAAAATAAAAAATATAAATAAAAAAATATATTTCTTACTCCCTGGGCTCGAGTCCATCTGAATAGAGTCCTAGCATTCAAGTCGTGTTAATAAGCTTCAGCTCATCTACACGAGTCCCCTGGGCTCTTGCTGGTCTACATGGACGTACTGAGTTTCCGTTCTAGCTTCTCTCCAACGCGTGTAAAATGGCTCCCTGGGCTCCAGCGTATCCAAATAGACTGGTCTTAATAGAGTCCATGAGCTTCGTGTTGTCGAAATAGACCCCCTTAAAATAGTCTTCCTTTCTACTTTTTTGAAGATCATCAGGAAAAGGGATTTGATTTAACTTATCTTGGGCGCCACCGAAATATAAAGTCTTGAAATTTGTAGTTGTCAATTCTGTGGTGTAAAGCTCATTTGAATATCATTGAGGTCGTCTAAAAAGACTTATCTAAATAGATCCCTGGTATTCTAACTTTTTTTTATTATACCCTACACCACAAGGTGGTCAGGGTATTATGTCTTTGTGCATTTGTTTGTAACAGGCAAAAGGAATCGAGATAGACCCATAGTTCCTTTTGATGATCTGCATAGAATCATTTTCTGAATTGATTTATGCCTGTCAGTCCGTCTGCCCATGTATTCTTGTGAACAAAATACAGGTCGCATTTATTATCCGATTGAGACGAAATTTTCCAAACAACATTTGTTTGGCCCAAGGACGAACCCTATTGAAATTGGAGATAATCGGTAAAAATTTAGATATAGCTCCCATATATATCTTTGTCCGATTTGACTTTTATTGTGCACCAAACTTGTAATATCAACTCGAATAGTATGAAATTTTGCACATACAACCAAATTAGGCCTGAAAATAAGTATGCCAAATTTGATCGAAATCGGTTCAGATATAGCTATAGTTCCCATATATATTGTTCATCCGATTTGTTGTATTTGTTACCCACAGCTGTAATATGCACTCCGTAACAACGATATTCAGGGAAATATATCAAATACAGCTCAGAAAAATCTTTGTCAAATTTTATCGAGATCGGTTCAGATTTGGATATAGCTCCATATATATCTTTATCTGATATCAAGTTAATTTTGCACCAAATGGGCAATACAAGTCCGAATTTAAAAGATACAAATGATTCGGCATATCTAGTCCTTTGAACTTTAAATTATACTTATAATCATAGCTTGTATGATTGAATTCTCCCATAAAAACTTTTAATTGTTATATGGAGCTCTACTAAACTAGCAAAGTGGTGTAGGGTGTCATAAAGTCGGCATCGCCCGACTTTAGGACTTTCTTTACTGGTTTTTCTTTCAAAACATAAATTGTAGAATCTAGACCATTTATTTACTAAGCTCACGTTGGGCGCCACTAAAATATCTTGAATTTTGTATCTTTTCAATAAACCCGATTATTTACGGATATCTGCCCATATAATAGACTCTCAAGAATCTAGTTCATCGAAATAGACTTCCTACATTTTGGAAGATCGTCTTGAAGAAGGATTTGATTTAACTTGCGTTGGGCGCCAAAGAAATAGAATATCTTTATTCCCTGTTCTCCAGCTTATCTAAATAGACTCCTGGTCTAAATAGATTCCCTGGGATTACAATTGTCGAATTAGTCTCCCTGGGCTTAAGCTTGTCAAAATAGTCACTATAGGTTTCAATTCGCCGAAATAGATTCCTTGACCCACAGCTCGTCTAACTACATTTCTTGGGCAGAAGCTGATCTAAATATATCCCATGTCCGTCAACTCATCTAATTAGATTCTATGGACTCTAGCTGTTCCTAATAGACTCCCTGGGCTCGAACATGTCTGATCCAGCTGTCCTAAATAGACTTCCTGGTCTCTAGTAGGTCTTTATAGACTCGCTGGGCTCCAGCTGGTCTGAATGGACACCTGGGAGCCCAACTGGTCTAAATAGACTACATGGGATTCAACTGGTCTAAATAGGCTACCTGGGCTTAAGGTCGTCTAAATATACTCCCGTTGGTGTATCGTCTAAATATACTCTCTTTGCGTCAGCTGTTCTAAAAAAACTCCCTGTGTTTAACTCGTGTATAGCGACTCCTTAAGTCTATTTAGCGACTCTCTGAGATCCACATTGTTTATAGCGACTCCTATATCAGCCCTAGCTCATTTACAAAGACTAGCAGACCTAGAGCTCATCAAAAGAGACTCTCTGGCCTTCAACTCGTCTGTAGAAAGACTTCTTGGTCATTCTGCTCGTCGATGGAGATTGTCTGCCCAGCCTATCTGTGGAGACTCCCTGGGCCTTCAAAACATTTGTGAAGACTACCAGGGTCCCACATAAAAAAATTAGATTTAAGTCTCTATCTGTTTACTCAATACAGGGAAACAGCAAAAAATAATATTCCGTGCCATTTTATTGACGCATCTCCGAAAACCGAGACACGAGTAAACTAGAACACCAATAGCGACAACTAGTTGAAAATAATGTCATACCGTCTTAAGTATTTTTGTTATGACGTTAGTTCGAATTAGCAAAACAGCGGCCATATCTCAGACCTACACACCAACACTCCACCAAAGATCCACTTTCTAAATTTCAAATCTTTTTTATTTCATATCAAAATTTCATATCAGGACAGCTACTACATTGTTGTAATCGAACATATTTCATTATAAAGTTTCGTATTCTCCGTGCCAAATATCTTACGATTTTACATTTTTTTGGTATATCTCTCAAAAAAGACTGAAAGAATTTTACAAATCACGAATTTAAATATTCAAAATATTTTCGTTAAATGAAATAAAAATCCTTTATGAAAAACATTTTCCGCAGATTTCTTTTTCCTTGATTTTAAGTCACCTCTCCACAAAGAAGTGACTTGCCAATCAAAACCACATTTTTTATTATTTATTTCAATGATCCAGAAAATAAAGTTTTTACAACAAGAGGTTGTCTTGACTTTCGGGCGCAAACACTTGAGACAATGGCGAACGAACATTTACCGGAAAATTCTCACTTAAAATTTCCGGTTTCCGGTCAACATTTTTTTTTATTTTTGTGAACTAAGAAAAGCATTAAACACGACAAGAACCGGATTTCAGGGAAATAATTTGCATTACATTAAGTATTTTTTTTTTTTTGTTGCGGTACCAGGAATTGAACAACAAATGAGCGCAAGAACGTTTACATCCGCACTTAAAAATGGAAACCGGAAGAAGACATCAATTTTCCGTTGGTAAAACTTTGGCAAACCGTGGCAAAAGTGGAGAATCTAACGTTAACGATTTGGTTTCCTGTTACGGTTGCCACTGAAACAGAATATTTCACATATCTCGTTGTTGTTTTTTCGTTTTTTTGGTTTGTTTGTTGTTGGTTCTTCTTCTTCTTCCGCACGGTTTGGCTTTCTTATATTGTAATGAATTGATTTCGATTTCGAACGAAAAAAAATCACTTTACATGTAAGGGTTGAAAGAAAATCAACAACGACGAAGACTCTGCACTGCACGACGAAAATGCCAACGAAAAACAGTGAAACCAGCCAGACAACCACCTGCCGCCGTGGAAGCTGATAACTCAACTAATTTAACGCATTCAATTTAAATTGCCAATTCAATGAACAGTAAATACCAAAAAAGAACAACAACAACAAAGACGACGACTTCGACAACATCGACAGAATAGGCTAAGGTATTGAAGAGAGAGGGGGTGCAGGGTTACCGAAGTCATGGGAGTCATAGGAAAAGCATAAAAGACGTTAATGGTGGGGTCGGTCGGCCGTTCGGTTGGCTAGCAAGTCAGCAAGTAATTACTGATATCAAAATGGGGCTGTGAGCGTAAGCGTTCTGTGTATTTTTGTCGCCCATAATTACAGCAACAACAGCAACCCACTAACACCACCACAGGAAAGAGAACTTCATAACGGCAACGAACGAACGAACGAACGCACGCAACGTAAACAAATGCCAAGAGAAATGTGGCAATATCTTTGCCACCTTTCAGAGTGACTTTCATGCCGGCAATGAATGCCAATAGATTCGTACAATAAACCAATGCATTCCTGCTGCCATTCTCGGAAGGAACCTACTCCCCAATTTATGAATATTCCAAACCATTTGCTTTTATATCTTGGAATTCGGAATTCCATTTGCCATTGTAGTTGTGACGTAAATCTTATTTGAATACAACACAAGCACAGGTTGGTTGGCTGGGTGGTTGGCTGCCTCCCACCCCCACCTCCAACCACTGACGTTCTCGCATCGAACCATTTAACAATATCAGATAATGAAACGAAACATTTAATGTTAGCAAATGGCAAACAAACAAAAGAAAAAATTAAATGAAATGAAAATGTGTGCGCCATGAAAACGCTGATAAATAGAGAAGTAAAACGTAAATGCTCCGACATTCTAGCCGGAACAGTAGTTAATGGAATATGTATTCAAGGAGCAGTAACAACTCAATTTTGTTTTTGCAATAATATTATTTCTACGAGATATATATCACACAGTTTGAATATCTGGAAGGACAATGCAGACGTACAAATCAAATTTGCCGAATGTTACGACCTCCGAATAGAGAGGGCCTATGGCAAAAAAAAAAAAAAACATGAAGCCGGAATTAAGTTTGATCTAACTTAACACAAAGCCTAGACCTGTTTTGTTTGGGATGATAAATTATAAATTTAAAATTTCGAAATAGAAAGTTGTAGCCCGCTATTTGTGGCTTTTGTAGAAAAGGGAACCGATACCGAAAAAAGATCCCTTGATGAATTTGTATCCCACAAGAGCCCTTGATGCCTTTTTAAATTTTTTTAGTTTGAAAATTTATGACGTTGTTTTCTAGTGGACTGAGATAAGTTCGGGGAATTCTTCTTTTTCCTTGGGGGGGGGGGGGGGGGGGGGGGTGTTGGGTGTTTGGTTTTTCAAATCGATTATTTTATCGATTTAAATATTAAATTATTTTCTTATCGTGTTTAAATTCAATAATATGGATATGAACGATATCGAATTACCTTCGGATATATTCGGGAATCTTCTACTAAATATATATGAGTTACAGACTGATTCATCAAGGCCCAAGTGAAACGGTTAAAGCTGAAAACTTAATATTTTGCATTGATGATGTGAAGGGCTGAATTAAGGCTGGATTTTTGTAAATTTGTACTATAAGTGAACCAAATGTACTAAAATGTACTACCAATTAAATCTATTGTATTGTATCAAACGGTTAGAGCCAGAATTCTGAAAGTTGAAATGAGGGCTAGAATTTTGAAATGTTGCAATTGGGGTCAAAGTTGGTGAGTTGGGTTGGGACTTGAGGGTTGCTTTAGAATCATGTATTAAAAAAATACGAAAAGTTAAAAAAAATGCTATTAAACCTCAAATTTGGGGGAGAGGTACAGTTGCAAATCTGAAATTTCATTTTAAGCTACTAAAAGTGGTATTTGCAGAAGGGTTTTGGGACATTTGTATAATAAGTGTACTTAAAGTACTAAAAATCACTTGATTTGGTACCATTTGGAATTATGGTAATGGTATTATGTAAAGGAATAGAGCAGGAGTAATGATATTTTGTATTAGAATTAAGTCGGGGAAGAAGGATAGGAAAACATATACGAAGTGCAAGAGCTTTACTAAATGGTACTAAATGCGGTACAATTTGGGTAAATCTTTTGAAGCTGGAATTTTGGAATGTTGCATTTTGAGTCACTGTTAGTGTGTAGAGTTGAAATTTAAAAGAGTTTTTCAATCATGTACTAAAAAGTTCTAAATTTGGTATAGGAGGAAAGAAATGGAGGTGGAAACCTAAAATTCGGTATTAGGTTTAGATGGGGTTGATATATAGATGTGGTTTTCGAAATATGTACAAAAAAGGAATAAATAATATTAAATTTAGTATTTCGAGAAGGGATAAAGGTGGAAATGTGAAATTTGGAAGGTTTGTCTTCGGCGTTATGTAGGATAAAAGAGTCTAACGATTTTCGGTAACCTGAATAATAAATGCGCCAAGAGTACTACAATTCTGGAAATTTGGAGAGAACCATTGAGAACCATAGAACTGTTTCTATGAGTGGCATATTTGTCACTGAGGACATCTTTTTAGAATGATTCTTAGAAGCCGATTTTTGCAGATTTAAACTCACGACGTGTTCTGGCACCTATAATAGAATTTTATGATAAATTATTTGTGAACCTTTTTGCAAATAATGAACAAAAAGACCTCTTTGATGACTGGCTCAAGGGTGAACAATTTTGACTAAAAAATCTACGTTATATTGCCGAAGATAATTTATACCAAGAATGCAATGATTCAAATATATAGAAATTGCATCAAATGTCAAAGGGGCGAGAACATGTTCCCATGCCTAAGTTCAATTAAATTAAAATTCTTAAGAATACAACCAACTGCTCTTTTTCTACAATTTTTCAAGTACTATTTTATTCAACTTTGAACTTTCGTCCAAAGTTAGTTATGACAAGTTATAACGAACGAAGGTGCTCAAATCTCCTTGCTGGCATCTAGACACACTTTCTACTTTTTATTCTTTAAATAATATAAGTCCTTCCACTAATATTCTAAATAAAACGGTCAAATTTTAATTTCCAAAATTTTCATATCTTGTGTTTTATTTTTATAGCCTCTACCATATGGAGGGTAAATTAAGTTCATCATCCCGTTTTGTAACTCATCGAAATAATAATTTCAGACCTAACAAAGTATATATATTCTTGACCTGTGTAAAATTCTAAGACGATTTAGCCCTGTCAAAATACAAAAATATTGGAAGCTATAATTTTGCACAGAACAGTCTTTTGTCTGCAGGCAAGTCCAGTTCGAAAATGGTCTGTAACGGTCCACGATATCGTATAGCCCCCATATAATGGTACACCATGATTTTAGCACCACTTTTCAATGGAATTGTATGAAATTCTACACTAGGAGTTATTTCTGAACACTTTACCCCTGGAAGAGAATTGTCTGCATAGGTCTACGATATCGTATATGCCCCGCATAATGATACCTCCCGATATTCGGTATTTTAATGTTTTTAGGTACATTTCTGACCGGAATTCTTTAAGCTTTCGTATTTAAAATTTGAAACTCGCAATGAGCACCACAATATATGACGGAAAATTGTATATGCAGGTCCACGTCTTCGTATAGCCCACATATAACGATACCTCCCTTTATTCGGAATTTGATGATATTAGCAACATTATTCAACGGAATTTTTTCAAATTTCGTATTTGAAGTTCGGAATCGGTCCCACAGATTATGTCAAAAATATGCAGGTCTTCGTATAGCCCCAATATAATGGTATTTTTTGACATTTTTTTTTTGCAATTTTTCACAATCCTTCAAAACGGTGATGAGGAACGCCATATATTTAGATGAATTTGCAATGTAAACTTTTAGAACGCCCATGCACATGTCTTTTATTTTAAGTGTGCTTTCATAATCTGCTCGGATATTCCTCTACATATAGAAATCATTTAATTTTGACGCATAGTGTAATCAGACATCCCTATTTCATCGTTCCCGAAATCTTTAAATCGGCCACAATGCTAATATCAATATCAGACTCACGGCTTACTAACATACCAACTAAATCCTTTGATCCCAGATTTTACTCCCATATTACCTTTGATCTATAGTGATGACGTATAATTCCAGAGGAACCACTGATTAAATTTTAATAATATATAGATAGATATTATGAAATATAAAAAAACTCTTAATGAGTATTAGTCTATTGAGGTTCAAGCATATCGCCTGAACCTTCCTTAGTCTGTTTATAAAATATTCATGTTCATATATTTTGAAGTCAAGGAGTTGTAGGTTTTTGGACTTTGACAAAACTCTATAAAAAATATAATAAGTTTATGATGTATTTACATGTGTGTACCATTCTTGATTTTGCACTGAAATTTAGCAAAGCAGTATGATGACTCCTTTTCAAATAGTTGTCTATGTAGGTATACAGGGTGAGATAAAAAACTGAAACAAAGTCAAACGCCATAATTTTTAAATGTTTTTTTTTTAATTTTATTGAATAAAAGCAAAAATGTCGAAAATAGTTTCAAATTTTAGAATAAGTTTAGATTTGTTCGAATTGGTCACCTTTGGCGCGAATTATGGCCTTCAAAAGGCCAACGAAACCGTCACACGCTGCCCGAATGTTGCCGATTGCCAGCGAAGCGCTTGCTTGAGGTGATCGATACTTTGGTATTTTTTAGTGCCAACCTTGCTTTCCAAAATACTCCAGACACGATAGTCCACTGCGCCATTGTGCGCTGGAAATGAACCGTGAAACCATTTTGGTGGCGCGTGCTGAGTGCGATGTTGCTGAGTCCTGTTGGAATGCCCAAGATCTGCGGCCAAAATGTTTGCGTACCCAAGGCTATAATACACCCTCCTGAATATTTTTGCTATAATATCC